TCTAGTTTTCAGAATTGACTTTAATAGTTTCCAGGTTTGTTTTTTTTTTAATCTAACAGTGTGTGTGTGTGTGTGTGTGTGTGTGTGTGTGTGTATTTGAAATGGGTCTGTAACTCAGTCTGACCTCGAACCCCCAATGTGGTCAATAATGACCAATTCTCCTGTGTTCACCTCCTGGAGCCAGGGTGTTGTGTGTGTATAAACACTCTATTACCTAAGCCACATTCCTAACCTCGAACGAGACTTTAAACGTTTTTTAAAAAGAGGAAAATGCCTGTATGGCAGAAAGGCCTCAACGGGCGAGGGCTCAGTTGTTCAGAAGGTAACGTGTGTAGGCAGCCACAAGAACTCACACAGAAGTGAGCTGTTTTTATTTCAGAATATTTCCTCCCTTTAAGCTAATAAACAAACCCATTATACAATAGAAAATTAGACACATCAACCACAGCTTCCTGCTATTCTTAATTCAGACAGGTTCCTGTTGTGTCTGGTCTTGGATGTGCAATCCGCCTGTCTCTGCCTCCCAAGTGCTGGGATTATAGGGATATATCACTATACTTAGCCTTAAAAGCTATCTTATGACTTCTCAAGAAAAAGCCCCTTCGTCTTCTCCCTTCCTCCATCGATGCTTTTCCTTCTCTGGAGCGCCCCACTTGGCTCCTGCTCACCCTCCTTGTCCAGATGCAGGGCTTGGATCCTGGACACGGCACTGCTGGCTGCTGGGAAAGCTTCTACAAGGGACCCTCTCAGAATCCTGGCGCAGTGGCCACCCTTTCTGCACAGACTCAGTTGCTTGCGGTATTGGTTGTCAATAGAAAATGCTAGAATTTTTTGTTTCTTGTTTGGGGGTCTAGTGCACTAGATCTTGCTAAGTCACTGAGGGTGAGCTTTACCTACTGCTTGGATTCTAAACAATTCATTTAAAAAGTAAGTTTTCGGGGCTGGAGAGATGGCTTGGTAGTTAGGAACACACACTGCTCTTGCAGAAGTCTTGAGTTTGGTTTCCGGAACCCACAACTGCCTGTAACCCCAGCTCTGAGAAAACTGACACCTTCTTCTGGCCTGGAAAGGCACCTGCACACATGTGCACATACCTACACCCAGGTGCGCGCACACACACACACACACACAATTAAAAATAAATAAAAAAGCACTTCTATTACACTACTATTGCTCTTTTCTTATTAGTTGCTGATCTCTCTGTGTGTAAGCCCACCACGGTTATGTGTAGGGCAGACCCAGGCTATGTAGTCGGTGGCTACCTACAGTTTCAGACATCCCCAGAGATCTGGGTGCGATTATAAAAGGCAACACCTCCTTATGACCAAGGCATGTGATAGGATGAACTCTAACCAATCCCGTACAGGGAGCTACCAATGAAGACAGCGAACACATAGTGAGGAGGCCATGAGGAGGGTGTGCCTGCATTGCATGAGGGGAACTGCCCGCCATCCCTTTGGTCATGCCTGGTTGCTGGACGGAGCCTTTGGAGAGCACCTTTGGGTATGTCTGGCTGTGGCTTCCTTTCGTGCTATCGGCCAATCTAAGACCTGCATTGTGGTCATTCCTGAGACTTTTTGCTCTGAGGTGTATGTTCCTTATCTTTTGATAGTCAGGGCCGTGCATGGCTGTAAACCCCCTCCATTGTGCACATGTGAACATGTGTATGCAGGCCAGAGGCCAGCGTCAGACGATTGTGTGTATGTGAACGTGTGTGTGTGCAGAGGCCAATGTCAGGCGTGCTTCAGGTGCTGTCCACTTTCTTTTTTGAGACTGCGTTCCTCAATGCAGCCTGTGGTCACCTCTTAGGCCAGGCTGGCCGGCCAGTGAGGTCTGGAGATCTTCCTGTCCTCACTCCACTGGCCTCGAGTTACAAGCTTGCACTGCCATATCTGGCTTTTCTTTTTTCTTTCCTGAGACAATCTTTCTATGTAGCCCTGGGTGTTCTGGAGGTTACTATGTAGACCAGGCTGGCCTTGAATTCACAGCAATTCACCTTCCTCTGCCTCCCAGGCCTAGGATTAAAGGCATACGTCACCATGGCTGGCCTCACATCTGGCTTTTTATGTGGATTCCAGGGATTAAACTTAGGTCTTCATGCTTACATAGCAGCCCTTGACCAACTAAGCTACATCTCCAGCCCCATTTTCTATCATCCTAGGGAACTCTGGACAGGAGGTGGGGACAGCAGGGATTTCTGCTACCAGAAGTGTTTGGCTTTATTGTGCTATCTCTTTGGCTCTTCACATGGCGATGCGGCTCCTTCTGTTTTCAAGGCATAACATCCTCGTCATCTCCTCAAAGATAATGTAGGGTCTTGAAATGGCTAAGGCCAAGTGACACCAAGAGGAGAGCTAAAACTATGGGGGAAGGGTGGCATCCCCAACGATGGGCCACATCTTACAGTGAATCCAGGAGATATCGCTGCCCACACCTTGTGAGAAATGAGCATGTTTTAATATTGACTTATATTTGTGTGTGTGTGTGCATGTGTGTGTGTGCGTGCTGGATCTCTAGGAGTTGGAGTTACAGTGGTTGTGAGCAGCCCAATGTAGGTGTTGAGAACCAAACTGGAATCCTCTGGAAGAGCAATTAAACAAACGAGCTTAACTGCTGGGCCATCTTTCCAGCCACTACAGAACGTTTTCCCATCCAAGTCCTAACCAGGCCCAACCCTGCTTAGCTTTCTGGATAAGATTGGGCTGGTTCAGGGTAGCATAGCCATTGGCCGTGTTTTCTATTGTCCCTCTGAGAGCATCCGCAGAGACGGGACGACTGTCTGGATGTGCCGACACAGACACTACCTGTTGCGCAGGGCTGACTCAGCAAGTCTGAAGGAATTCCCCTCTTCTTATTGTAATTACTTTTTTCCCCCTTATTGTGACTTTTGTTTTGTAGTGCTAAGAACTGAGTCCAAGGCCTGGCACATCTGAGCTCGGTACTGTACTGCCATACTTTGAGCCCAACGCTGACTATGCCTTCCCACATAGGAAAACTCTACATCCTGTTTCTACGACCGCTCATGTTGGGTGATTCATCCTGTCCATTCTGGGTTGCTAAAGTATTTTGACTGTTCTGTCTCTTAGACCTGCTTCTTTGCTTTACAGTATTTGTGGGTGTCTATCTCAGGCCTCAACTCAGCCTGTAGGATGACTGAGAGAAAGCAGGGTGGTGGTGGTGCCCGCCTTTAATCCCAGCACTGACGAGGTAGAGGCCTCTGTGAGTTCAAGGCCAGCCACGCCTACAGAGTGAGTCCCAGGTGTAAAGACAAGTAAAGACTGGGGAAGAACCTGGATGGAAGTGGAGGCCACAGGTAAAGGATAAAGTGGGTGGCCCGTGTATGCGTGTCTGTGTGAGACAGGCGGACCCTTGAGCACAAAACACCACAGTGTAAAAACCATGACAACGCAGAGAACACAGCCGAGAACGAGCGCCAGGCCTGTGCTGGATATGGAGAGTTAAAAAGACTCAAACAGGGTCCACGGCCGGGCTGCTCTGCCCCCGGGCACTGTGGTTGGCTGTGCAGCACAGGCAAAGAGCAAGGCTGAGTCACAGAGCATTGGTTCTCCAAACCCAGCGTGGAAACACAAGTATGGACAGGGCCCTTGGGTGATGAGCGACCTATGGGCTACACTGTCTACCACCCACCCACTCCTCCTGAGAGGCTCAGGACACCAACCACCCTACTGCGGGAGCCCATGGGGTGCAAGTCTCATGACACTTGCTTCTTGGGACAGTCGAGAATTCCAGACAAATAACCAGGCTTGGTTTTTTTTTTTTTTTTCTATTTGCTAGGATCTTACTTTCTAGACCTGTGTGTTATAATTTCTAATATCTATAGATAGAGAAGAGGTATCATTAACAGTGTTTTCATTAATAGAGCTCCCCCACCAGGTGATGGGGGTGGAGCCTAGGGCCTCACATATGCTTGGCAGTGCTCTGCCTCAGAGCTCTATCTCGAGCCCATAATCGAGTCTTTTAACAAGTCACTGATACACCTGTATTACATAGATGTTGGTGTGTGGTAACTGATAGGGTCTCAGAAATTCCTTTAATGACACCTGAATGGTATTTAGCTTTTTTTTTCTCTGGATGACCACACTCTAGAACTGTTAAGCTTTGGGGTAATGTTAAAAAAAAAATAATAATAATGAAAAAGCAAAACCCCAAACAAAAACCACCTTCTTCATCCTGTCTTTATCCGCTTTTAACAAGAGTATTTCAGCCAAAAAGGTGGGTCAGTGCTCAGCCACCGAACCACGTGCCACGCAGGATGCCACGGTGACTAAGGAGAGCGCGTCAGCAAACTGCCTGGAGTCTTCCACTTAAGAAAGTTAGAGAAAACTCGGTCCTAAAGAAACCTACCCAGTGGGGAATAATTTGGTAACCCAGACACCCATACAGGAGCACTGGCCGTGCCTACCCGCCTCTCTTCCCTGGGTTGTATAGTCCTCCCCACTCCCTGTCCCTTGCTGTCCCTTTTCTTAGACGGTTTCTGAACACACTATTGCTTGGAAAACTGAAAAATTAATGTTTTGGTTTTTCTCTCACTCTGGGGAAGCCACCACTCCACATTAAGTGAAAGGCAGAATATTGGTTTGTACCTTGTTAACTTTCGTGTGTGCATATTTGGGAATGGGTGTCAGGTCAAGGGTCACAGCTTGATGTCTGGGGTCTTCCTCCACCGCTCCCTACCTTAGTTTTTGATTCAAGGTCTCTTCACTGAGCCTGGATCTTGCCAGTTAGGCTAGACTCTCTGGTGAGAGAGCCCTAGGGGTCTTTCTGTGTGTTGTGTCCCCAACTATCCCTGCTTCTCTGGCGTTATGGGTATGTGTGCAGCACACCAGGTCTTTTATGTGGCAGGAACCGAAACCAGGTCCTCTCGGTTGTGTGGGAAGCAACTTATCCCACCGAGACATCCATCTCCCCAGTCCCCACCTTAAGAAACTTGAGTAACCTTTTCTCTCTTTCCATCAGATCAAGAGGAATGGAGCCCGGGCTGTGTTTGTCACCAATCCTTTATTGAAACTGGCAACATACACACTTTATAATAGAGCAAAAATAACGTTCGATATGTACAGCCTCTGTGGGGGCTATCTGACTATACACCAGGCAGAGTGAGGGCATCAAGTCTTCAGCGTGTGCACACAAGGACACCAGACAGACACTGTGTGCACACTACAGTGAAATGACAACAGAGGTCCAGTGGAAATTCGGCATGGCACCAACAGCATCCTCCTCCTCCTCCTCCTCCTCCTCCTCCTCCTCCTCCTCCTCCTCCTCCATGCACAGCTCAGTCAGTAGTCATTTACCTGGAGTCCGAGGCTGAGATAGGTTGTGTGGCTATGAATCTTTTGAGCGAGACCACCTCTGTGGATAAGTTTGCCATCCCCTGCTTCAAATACAAATTCTCAGCCTCGGAAACCTTATAACCACCGTCTTTGACTGCTACCACGCCTGTTTTGAAGCTACTCTGAGTTTTGCCGTTCAGTTCTTTGTGATGCCAGGGTTCCGATTTGAGGGACCAATCTTGAATGTTCGTCACCTGCACTGAGAAAGGAGGGAGGGAGGAATGGACCATACCCGGGGGGCCATGCTTCTCCAGGTCAAAGTGTCTTTTGGCCATGACATCGGCTGGGGAAGAGAGTTTCTGCATGCCTTCAAACTCGCTGTCCAAAGCCTCCACTTTGATCTGCATGGCCTTGGCTTTGATTCGGAGCTTGTGGGGCAAGGCAGAAGGGTTCACTTCTGGAACCTTCACCACAGTGGTGTGCACCCGCTGCAGCTCCACCGGAGAATGGATGGGGCCCTTGGGTACCTGCTGCTCGTCTTCCCCATCCGAGGACTTGCCCACAACACCCTCATCGGCCTCTGAGGTTCTCGGGGAGTTGCTGGTGGACCCATGGACCTGCAGGAGGGGTGGGGAGTGGGAGTAGGTAGAGAAGGAGCTGCCCATGTAACTTTGGTAGATGGAGGTGGAATAGGCACCCCGCTCCTCCCTGGATTCCCTGGCAAAGCTCTCCAGCTCCACTGGCTCCTGCTTGATCACTGGGAACTTGTTCTCGGGGCTCCGGCAGCCTCCCTGAGCGGGGCTTTCCTGCGTGTGCTCCACAGAGGACACCTCAGACACATCAGACAGAGAGCTCTGAGGAGAGTGTTTAATGACGGAGATGCAGCTCCCGGCTACAATTGCGGGTTCGTGCTCATCCACAAACGAGCTCACGGCAGCCTTGGACGTCTGGTAGTCCTGAAAGTACACAGCTGTGGAATTACTGAGTTTCTGGATTTCCTGGGCATACGCCGTGGAGCTAATTAAACCAAACTTTAATTTGAGAGAGAGAAGCTCAGCTTTTAAAGTGGCATTCTCTTCTCCCAGGGCAATCAGCTTGTTCTCCAAAACCAGGTCATTGAGCCGGCGCTTCTCCCGAGACCTCTTGGCAGCTTCGTTGTTTTTCCTCCTTTTCTCCCAATACATGGCATCTTTCTTCTCGTCGGGAATGAATTCCCGTTTTCTCCGACACGCGGAGGATTTGTTCTTCCCCACGCTCCCTTCATTCAGGAGCAGATCTTCACCGGAGGCGAGGTCCTCCGCCACCTCGGCTAAGGCAGAGTTCAGCACCATCATCTTGTCTGAGCTGCTGGGAGGATCCAGGGGGGCTGGCTCCTTTTTGATGGTCTGCATTTTTCTCAGCTGCATCAGAAAGGACCTTACCCTACAGACCCACGGGTGGGGGAGAAAACAAATCACTTTCCCAGTAAAACCTTCGGCTTCTCATCCATCAATATTCCTTCTGCTGTCCGGTCCAGGATAAATCTGCCAGGTGCCTCTCTGGAGCGGACCGAGGCTGCACTGGGTATCTGCAATGAAGGAGAACATGGTGAGTCCCTGGGGCAGATGTGTGCCAGCAGCTGGAAGGGGGCTGTGCTGAGTAGGCAGTCAGGGGGTATGGGCTCCAATGCGGCTCAGGTCTTTAGAGTGAGCAAGCTGGAAAGAAGATGTGAATACACTCACACACTTCCACTCTGGTGGCAAAGGACCTCTTGGCAGAGGACTGTGCGGTCCAGGAGTGTGAGGAAATGAGTTAGTTACTCAGTCACCCACTTACTCATCCAGTCACTAAATCTGTCACGCAGCCAACCATCCCTCCATCCCCATCCCTTTATCCCTCCCTTCTTCCATCTACCCACCCCTGGATCCATCTAATCCTTCCCTCTCATGCCACATATCCATCCATCCATCCATCCATCCATCCATCCATCCATCCATCCATCCATCCATCCACTCATTCCTCACTCCTCCCTCTCCTCTGCTCCGGATCCCAAACAAGAAAGCTGTGTTTCACAGAGATGTAAGGCCAAGTGTAGTATTCTGGATGATTCATGAGAGGGAAGAAAGACAGACAGCCCATCAGTGGTGAGGTGCTAACCAGAACCCGCTACCCTCTACAGAATGACAACAGATAACAGACTAAGTAAACTCCTTAACTCTGTTACCTGATGTCCCACATTGGAGGGCATAGTGGTTCCCAGTCTCCCCTGGGGACTCCTCTGGCCTCACCATCAACATGCTACACTTATACGAAATGTCCATACTTAGACGATTTGAAATACAAAGCCCCTTCAGGCTCACGGACCAGACTTTTTAAGACTGATAACCACAGTGCTTTTTGGGGGTCCTAAAAACTTAGCTTAATAGTCTTCAGTTATATATTCCCTGTGGACTACAGCATTTACTTTTCAGAGGGACTTTTTTTCTAAGAGCCCTCTTGAAAGTTACGATTACTTCAAACCAGAGAATATAATTATGGAAAGAACTTCTTTCAATCTTGCTAATTAGTTTCAAATAAAATATAAGAGCCAAAAAATAGAATCAACTGTTTTTCACACCCATGAGTAAACTATTTATAATATGAATTGGGTTTCACCGTGTGTGCGCGCGCGTGCGTGCGTGCATGCAAGTGTGTGTGTGTGTGTGTGCTGAGGATGGAGCCCAGGGGAGTGCTAGGTAAGCATTCTAGCCCAGACTTTGCTACAAGATAATAAACCCTTATTATATGCCACTGACTATCTCTCATGGTGCCTTTGGGTCCTATGCCGACTCCGCAAAGCAAAGGTGCACAGGCAACCTGCACACTCCATTCCCCTGTTGCCCCCTTCAAGGTGTTGCTCATCCTGACACACGACAGTGTGTGTTTTCACCTCATGCCAGTGTTTCTCGCTCTTTGTGCACCTCCGCCAGCGTGCTGTGCCACTGAAGGCCAGAGGACAACCTCAGGGGCCATTGTTCTGGTTCTGTCCTCTTTGTTCCTTTGGCAGAGTCTCTCACTGGCCTAGAACTTGCCTTGTAGGCTAGGCTGGCCAACCAGTGAGCTACAGGGATCCTCCTGTCTCTAGCTCCCCACCGCCTGAACCACCCACTGAACACCGCGATGCCCAGCTGCTTTTTACATGGGTTCTGGGGATCAGTCTCCACGCGGGTGTGGCAAACGCCACAACAACTAAGCCATTTCCTCAGCTCTCTCACTCCCAGAAGCCTGCCTGTTGCTTCTGTCATTTCCGCGGGCAGCAAGAATGTCAAGGTCATAAAGACTGAGGTGTCACACAAGGCTCTGTCCATCAAACTGGGCTACCACCGTACAGGGAGCAGCTCCGCTACTCAAGGAAGCCCAAGGGTTATTAACAGCAGGCTTCTGTGTGCGTGGTGACAGTGACACCGTAACAGGCACCACTTCAAAGGCCAAAGGACAGCTTTTCATCCTTTAGTAAAAAGACATGCGCTCTTAGCACCCCCATACATCCTTGTCTTTTAATCTGCAAACACTTCCCTCTGCACAGCGCAGGGCACACTCCTCATGCTGCGGCAGGCATGCAGTCACTCGGGTCGGTCCTCACCCCTAAAGTGAACTGAGCCAGTGGGAAAGCTCGGAGAAGAAACAGAAGTCAAGGAAGGATGCTGACCTTGGCCTTTCTCCACCAAAGTCACGGGTTCTTAAATCCCACACGGTCCCTTCCACGCTACCTTTTGGGGGTCTTTTTTTCCTTGATGTGCTACTATTTTCCTCCACGTACTTACTTATCTCAGTTCTTCCTTAAAATATACGTTACATTTCATTCACACACCCCACCATCTGTGAGGTACTCTCCCTAGGTGTCTCACAATTGCTCCACACAGCTGAGCTCAGACACATCTTTGCACCTTCCTACCCTGAAAGGGTGCATCATGTGTCTGTATCGACCTGGTTGGGAGAGAGAGAAAAAGAGAGAGAATCAGTGTGTGTGTGTGTGTGTGTGTGTGTGTGTGAGAGAGAGAGAGAGAGAGAGAGAGAGAGAGAGAGAGAGAGAGAGAGGCCACACCACAGCAGGCCACCAAGAGGCCAAGTTGAACACATAGCTGGTTCTGTTCAACAGAAATCAACCCACAGTTGGGGAGATGACTCAGATGTAAAGTCCTTGACTTGCAAGCCTGAGGACCTGAGTTCAATCCCCAGAACCTATGAAGAAAGCTGGGCAAGGCGGCAGGGACTGTAATTCCAATGCTAGGGATGTAGAGGCAGGAGGATTCCCTGGGGTTTATTCCTTGTCCAGCCTAGCCTACTAGGTGAATTCCAGATCTGTGATAGACCATGTCTCAAAAACCTAAGTGGACAGAACTCTGAGGCATAACATTGGAGGTTGTCCTCTGATCTCCATATACACTATATATATAGCATATATACACAGGTACCAGTAGATGCACTCACACATACTTTTAGAATTACTTGGTACCCATATAGGAAACACCTGTACACTGGGTACCAAGCTAGACTGAAGGTTCTAAGAACGTGGAACCAAGCCCTCAAGAATGCAGGTTTGTAGGCAGGGTGGGGCCACATTGAAGAGGGCCTGACAGAACTGAGACCCATGCTCGGGCTTCAATCACGATGGGACCTGAAGTGCTGGCCCTGCTGCCTCCATTCAGTACAGAAGCCATTTAAGGAGCACTTGCTAAGTCCTTGGCACTGGGGGTATGACCTGCCCTTTCAGCATCTTCAGAGGGGAAAACAAAGCTCACAGAGGCGAGGGGCATGCCTAGTGATCTGCCACTCAGGTGATGGCCAACCTGAGACCCCAAGCCAGTTGGACCCTGGTTCTGACCCCTCATGGATCCTCCCTACACCCCACCTTTCAATCCCAGACACACACAGCCTCCCTTCATCTCTCTTAGTTTGGAGTCTCACACATCTGGTTATAAAGCTCCTCTCGGGAAAGGAAGGTACCACGGACCTGAGGCTCATCCCACAAGTTGGCTGCATCATAAAGGACTGCCTAGAGCTGCCTTCAATCAGCCTGAGCTGTTCCACAGTCAGACTTAAATCTCCTGAGTCCTATCTGTTGAAATAGTGAAAAAGACTCACAGCTATTGGCCTTGAATTTGTGATCATCTTGTCTCAGCCTCTTGGGTATCAGTACACTTGTTCCAACCCTCCTTAATATCATTATTTTATCTTTAATAAAAGAATAGAGCTGGGCAGTGGTAGCACACACCTTTGATCCCAGCTCCCAGGGAGACAGAGGCAGGTGGATCTCGCTGAGTTTGAGGCCAGCCTGGTCTAGATAGTGCATCCTGGGACAGCCAAAGCTATACAGAGAAACCTTGTCTTGAAAACTCAGGGGAAAAAAAAGAGAAATGTTTATTTGTGTCATTTATGTGTGTTTCTATGTGCACGAGTGCCAGGGCCTGCAAAAGCCAGAGGCTTCCAGTCCCCTTAGAGCTGGAACTACAAGAGTTTGTGAGCTGCCACTGTTTGCTGTGAACCAAACTCTGGTCCCCTACAAAAGCAACAAGCACTCTTGTACTCTTAAGTGATGAGTTATCTATCTAGCCCCTATTATTATCTTGTTGTTGTTGCTGTTTTTCAAGACAGGGTTTCTCTGTGTAGCTTTGGCTGTCCTGGAACTCACTATGTAGACAGACAATGCTTGGCCTCAAACTCACAAAGCTCCTCTTGCCTCTGCCTCCCAAGCGCTGGGGGTTAAAGGCATGTGCCACCACCACCCAGCTTAAAGATTTATTTTATGTGTATGAGTGCTCTATCTGCATGTATGCCTGCATGCCAGAAGAGAGTATCAGATTCCATTACAGATGATTGTAAGCCACTATGTGGTTGCTAGGAATTGAACTCAGGACCTCTGGAAGAGCTGCCAGTGCTCTTAACTGCTGAGCTATCTCTCCAACCCCTCCATTACTAGCTTTTTTTTTTTTAAAAAAAAGGTTATATTTGTATGAATGTTTTGCCTGGCTGGTACCCTTGGAGGTCAGAGGGCATCGGATCCCCAGAACTGAACTCATAGATGGTTGTGAGCCACTATGCGGCTGTTGGGAATTGAACCTAGGTCCTCTGTAAGAACAAGAAGTGCTCTTAACTGCTGAGCCAACTCTCCAGCCCCATTATCATCTTTAAACAAAACCAAAAACATATCTATTTCAACAAGGGGTGAGCATTTCTCTAATCCAATGGCTCTGTAGAGTGTCTTAGTTAGAGTTTCTATCGCTGTGATGAAACACCATAGCCAAAGCAACTTGGGGAGGAAAGGGTTTGTTTGCCTTACACTTCTACATCACAGTTCATCATAGGAAGTCAGGACAGGAACTCAAGCAGGGCAGGAACCTGGAGGCAGGAGCTGATGCAGAGGCCATGGAGGGGTGCTACTTACTGGCTTGCTCGTCATGGCTTGCTCGGCCTGCTTTCTTATAGAACCCAGGACCACTTGCCTGGGCTGGGCCCTCCCCCACCAACCACTAACTAAGAGAATGCTCTCCAGGTTTGCCTACAGCCCAGTCTTACAACTGCAGCTCCTTCCTCTTCAGTGACTCCAGC